GAACTTAAAACGTTAAAGCAAGTCCGATTCTGAGTAGTCAACATCACACTTTTAACACTTCAAATATTTGTTCCAGTTGTCCCTCGGGGGCTTGTAGTTAACATGATTCTAGTTATCACTGTTTAAATGGTTGAACTGACAGTTGTTTTATTTATTTCAGCTGATTATTTCTCGTATAAAATCTTTGAAATCGATAAAAATAGTAATTTCTGGTTCTTCATGTCAGAAACAGGAAACAATAGATGTCAACTATCTAATAGATTGTTGATTGCTTAAGCTGTAGTTTAAAACAGCAGAAATTAAGAAGATTTTAAGTGAAGCTAATTATATTAACACAAGGAGCCACCTTTTTTTTCCCCACCTAAATCCTTTTTGTACACAAAAACCCACAAATACACACACAAAGAAGTGTTCAGTAGATAGTTTTACAGCCATGCATGAATGTGTGCGTGCACACATCTGCTGGTTCTAATCCAGAGGCATGCAGTGAGCTGTTTAGTGTAACAGGTCTACATTGTTCAGCAGTGATATTCACAACACATGTTACTCGTGTCAAAGGTCAAGTCTGAGCACTCAGAGGCACATTTGGTGACAATTTAACCCTGTGTCAGCTGTGCTAGATCTTCAAAAAGCAGATGTGTGTGTGTGTGTGTGTGTGTGTGTGTGTGTGTGTGTGTGTGTGTGTGTGTGTGTGTGTGTGTGTACCCTTCTCTTCTTTACATATCAGAGCTACTTAAAGGACCTTTTTCTTCATAATTTTAATTCTGATGTTATAAAAAATCTGTAATGAACAAAATTTGGGGGAAAAAACATCTTGATTTTTCTTTTCTGGCACAACAGTGCATCCATCTTCTTACGCTTATCCAATTCAGGGTCGCGAGGGGCGAGCTGTGGCCTATCCCAGCTGTCGTAGGCCGAGAGCCGTGTACGTCCTGGACAGGTGGCCGGTCTATCCCGGGGTTACGTTTGAGAAACAGTGCAGTCGTAAAATTTGGGCCATTTTAATGTGAAGCTGTCTGTTTTTCACCCATCAAGTAGGAAAACTCCTGTTTGATCCTGGGAGGAGAGAGGTCACTTTGGCGTTGTGTCAGCACAACAGCTGACATTCATCTTAATCATTTTTCATATTTCATCAGTTTGTTTTATCTTTTTTTTCTTAGTCGTTATTGTTTTGTTTCTTGTTGCATTGCTTTCTTTTTTTTTATTGTTTAAACTTGTTTGTTTAGTTGTTTTGTTCTTGTCAGTTTAATTTTAAAGGGAAAGCTCACAAACCAAAGATGCTGTGTTTCACTGTATTATAAAAGCTTACTTTAGTTTAAAATAGTATCCAAATTCATTCAAATAAAAAAAATTAGGTAAAGATTTTGTTCAGATTAACTTGTTCAGTATTCGTGCACAACACTTAGCTTAAGTAGTACAACCAACACACAGGATGAGTCATGTGAACTGAAGGCAACGTGAGTGAGATCTGCTTAAATTGAAGTTACTAAATTTAAGTGTTTTAACTTTCTTAAAACTCAAACAGTTCACATAAAAATGTGATTGTGTTGCTTTGTGTTTTTTACATTACTCACATCAAGTGTCAGAGGACCAGGGTCTGCGAGCACTGCAGAGTTGTACAATTTAAGTACACTTTAAATGAAATAAACAGGCAGACCTCAGATTCAGAGCCTGAGTCAAATTAAAATATTTTAGTAAATATACTTGAATTATTTTTAAAATATTTTATTTCCTTCCAACATCTCTCAGGGCCCCATCGCTCCTGCTTCTCTCTTTGATTCACCCCCAGCCCCGAGTGCACCCTGTCCACCTCCACCACCTCCTCCACCCCCTGGCCCTCCTCCGGTGTTCACCGATGACGACGCCAAGCCTCAGGCGGACGCCGCCGTAGCCCAGCACTCCGCGCTATTTGCCCAACTCAACCAGGGCATGGACATCACTAAAGGTGCATCCACGAGCAACGCAGAAGAGCTGAGCGACAGTTTCCACCTTAATTTAATTTAAGCTTATATTTTTAAACTCATAATGTTATCCTCACACTTTCCATCTGTAGGTCTGAAGCATGTGTCAGATGACCAGAAGACCCACAAGAACCCCAATCTGCGTTCTCAACAACCAACAACAGCCAAAGGCAAGAACGCGGGGCCTGTGGCTTCACCCACTACACCTGCCCAGAAAAGACCCCCTCTGCTGGAGCTGGAGGGGAAGAAATGGAGGGTGGTATGTGTGATGTGTAAATCCTATTTTGAGGATCATTTGTATTTAATTCAACCCACAACGGGAGCTGAAATGAAGGGCACTTTGGAAATTTTCAATGACAATTTAATTTGCACCTACCCAGCTCTCATTTATATCGTAGAAACAAACCCAATCCAGGTGTCCTGGTAGACCGGCTGCTAATCTAGATTTTTGAATCCTTATTGTTGCAGGAAAACTTTGAGCAGAAGCACGACCTGGTGATCGAGGAGACGGAGCTTAAACAGGTGGCGTACGTCTTCAGTTGTAATAACTCCACCCTGCAGATTAAGGGCAAAATAAACTCCATCATCATTGGTAAGCTGCCTGAAAGCAAAATCATGAGTTTGAGCACAGATTTCATAACGTGGGATTATAATCTTCATCTGGTTTGTTTTCATCCCGTCTAGACAACTGTAAGAAGCTGGGTGTGGTTTTTGAGAACGTTGTTGGGATCGTGGAGATCATTAACTGCAAATCGATTCAGTTGCAGGTGAACACATTTTTATTTTGACACAGAATTAAGTGATGTGCCGAGTGTCTCGTAGGTCCGCTTTCATTTTCTTAAAACTGTTCACAGAGTTTTACACCCAAAGTGTAAAATAACATCTCACAGTGCCCAAAAAAAGCCTGTCAGTAAGTGAGGCATGTCTTTCTGCAGGTTTTGGGAACAGTTCCCACCATTTCCATCAACAAGACCGAGGGCTGCCAGGTCTACCTGAGTAAGGACTCCGTCAGCTGTGACATTGTCAGTGCCAAGAGCTCTGAGATGAACATCATGATACCTGAAGGAGAGGGCGATTACGTGAGTAACCGAGATAAAGGCTGAGCTAATTCTCTCCATGTGTGCAGCTGTTCTTACACTTACTTTGTTTTTGTTTTCCTTTTTTTTAAACAGAGGGAGTTCCCAGTGCCGGAGCAGTTCAAGACTGTGTGGAATGGAGCCAAACTGGTGACAGAACCCACGGAGATCGCAGGCTGACTTTGTCGTCCATAGAACACAAATATATTTCCGTCCTCCTGATGTTATCCCTCAGACATACAGTGCTGTGAAAAGTACTTTCCCCCTTCATAACTTTTTTTGTATAGTTGTCACATGTTTTTAGATAATGAAACTTTAATCAAGTTTTAAAATTAGATATATTGTTCTCTGCTGACCAAACAGAACACAAAGGCTCATCTCGTGCCAAAAAACATCCTGGTGGCCCCTGAGACTTTTGAGCAAATATTCTGTGGGCTGACAGGACAAAAGCTGAACTTTCTAGAAAGATTGAGCCATTTAAACTAACACAGCATTTCATAAAGAGAAGATCATACCAAAAGTAAAACGTGGTGGCAGTGGTTGCTTTGCAGCTTCGGGACCTGAATGACTTCTGGGCGACTCTGCTCTCTACCAGAAAATGCTGACAGAGAATCTTCGGCCATCAACGGTGCTCAGGAAACTCAAGGACATTTGGCTTAGTCAGTAGGACAATGATCCAAAATACACCAGGAAGTCCACCTCTGAATGGCTCAAAAACCAAAAACAAATAGAAGGTTTTGGAGTAGTCCAGTCAAAGTCTGAACTTAAATCAGACTGAGATGCTGTGGCATGACCTTTAACACATCGGAGAGTCTTCAATGTGGCTGAATTAAAAGAATTCTGCAAAGATGAGTTGGCCAAAATCCCTCCACAATGATATGAAACACTCATTGCCAGTTATCGCAGTTCTTGCTATCAAGCGTGGCACAACCAGTTATTAGGTTTAAGGGTACATACAGGTAGTTTTAGGCTTTTTTTTTTTCCTTTGATAAAAACAAAAAAAATCATGGTCATCATCATTTAAAAACTGCATTTTTATTTACTCGGTTAAAGTTCATTTGCTGATCTTAAACACATAAATGTGAGAAATATGAAAAAGAAATCAAGAAGGGGGCAAATACGTTTTCATAGCGCTGTAGGAAAGGTTTTCTAATAGGCACGTAGATTAACTTTTAGTCCACTTGCTGTATTTGTGACTTCATAAGAGGTTTCTCCAGCACTTCTGCAGCTGTTGTCTGTAATGAATCTGTCAGTATAACACAATCTCCCACTAGTGGTGAAGAATAGCTCAGGTTTAGGTGTCACAAACCAGAGCACACTTACATTTCTGTGCCAAAACAACACAGGCATTTATGTGAGAAAGTGTAACTGCTGAAAAATAATATTTTAAAGGTATTCTCATCATTAGATCAGTTTCCTTAAAATATAGATTTTAAATGTTCCGGGATGACCACTAATAAGACAGTACTCCACTTACACCTACTGCAGAAAACTTAGAAAACCAACATTACCTTCAAATAGAGAAAAGCAAATAAGTGTCTGTGGTACATTTTCAATCTAATAAAGTGCTTCCAGCCACCTCTGTAAAGAGCATCGTGCCCAGCAGTCATGTAGTAAAGTCACTGTGAAGTACATGCAGTACTGTCCTTATTCTGCATTAACAGCTGCTGTTGTGATTAAAATGATTAATTAGCTAATTTCTTTTACTGTACAACGTCAGCTATAGTGGTAACGGTTACCTCCGAGCACTTCCTATGTTTATTGTACTTTGTATACCACTCTTATTTTGTAGCACACAGCACCAGCATAGCACAGATGAAATGCTGATACTAAAAATATAATATACGAGAAAACAATTTTATGTAATTCTGTGTCTTTTTTTTTTCCAAATAAAGTCAAAACCTCCCAGTTCTGGTTTGTTAGTTTTATTTTGTGCGAGGAGAAAAAAAAAAAGCACAACAAAAAGAACCATGAAAGGGAGAAACAAAGAATAAAATCTCAGGAGATCAGCCATGACATGGAAAGAAGACAATCACAGAGTAGAAAAATAAACCAAAACAAATGTTCTTCCGCCTCATCCCTGTACGGTAAGAACTGATGATATTTGGTCATAATGGCTTGTAATATCACAGAAGCAGCTCTCCCTGTTTTGAGCAGGAGGGCAAGAAGTCCAAACCAAGAACAAGCAAGAACCTGGCTAACTTTTAAAACAAAGGGACTCGTGTAGAAGAAAGCCTTCAATCTGAGACAGGCCTGACACAACAAGACCTGCAGCATACAAGCTGGCCGTGTACTGCTAGGTTCATAGACTACATAAAACCACGATGTTACTCACTGGCTGGTGAAGTCCCGGCTTTAATTCTCACACTGAACATCTTGACTTCCCCATTTTAGTGTTTTGAAACAAGAAGTGACAGCGAAGGGGTGCAAATCCACAGACACTACACACTCGTATGTCAGCAGTCAGATAAATCACAATTTACAAACATTAGGTTATGAAATGAGATCTTGAAACTCTCCAGAGAAGAATTAACTGGGCTAATAACTCAAAGGCGCTGAAAGCTAACTTTCCTGTAGACTTGTAATAATCAGACTTCTTTTTTCAGTCCATGAGCTGCCCCCTACTGGCCATTAAAAAGAATACAGGTTTACAGCACTTCCCCAACCTGAAAGTCCTTAAAAAAGGATTTTTCAATATTTTATCCTCCAAAATCCACATTTTTGGAAAAGATTTGGAACAGCATCTGAAATCTGTAGTGCCTTTAAAAGGCTGTTTTTCAGTGTTTAATCACTACATTTCCCTGAGAGTCTTGAGTAAACAGCATCTCTTCATCCTCTTCCTCCTCCTCCGGCAGAGATTTGTAAGCACTCACCACTCCCATGCTGACGTTACTCTGATCTTTGAGAGGACTCCTGGTGTGCAGACCTCTGTGTGCGATCACCCTGAACCCTTCAGAGTCCTGAGTGAACAAAGTGGCCAAACTGTCCTCATCGAGTTCTCTGCTTCGCTGCTGCGGCATTCGCCTTTTGAGAGGAGAGCTTATCGGTTTTGTCCGCTTGATCTGGAAGGCAGAGCTCTCTTCTTTTGCAGCCTTTTCCCACAGCTGACCTGTTTGTTTCCGAGGTGAAGCGGTTTTTGGTTGTGTCCACTTATGATTTGAAACAGGTCTGAAATGAGAGGAAGATGAGTCTTTGCTTGGGGAATTATAAGACGGTGGCGTGCTGTTTTCCCTCTCATCAATCATACGAGAAGAATGAAGACGTTTAAAAGATTTTTGAGTTGAGGTTTGTCCTTCTGCATCTATCAGTTTTCTAAAGACCTCCTCCTCATTCTGCAGACTGTTTACTAAACTTGGCTCAGAGCTGCTGAAGTTCTTCACTGTTGTACATTTGTGGCTAGTCTGATGAAAGTTATTTTCAGTGTACTGACTGAAAGTGAACAGCGGGTCCTGACTCCACGTCTGTGGTAGAGGTTGACAGTCATCTTGTGTAAAGGTGGCATCAGAGACCCTCCTCTTACTCTGTGGTGGTTCACACTCTTCAGGCTTCTCTTCTTCAGATTCACAGTATATGTTTTGTAAATTTGAATGGTTTTCTGAACGCGTCTGCCATAATTCTGTTTCCTTCTCAGTCACATTTTCACTTGTACGCTCGTCAACCAAAACAGGCTCAAAGTTGGAGTTTTCAAAACCAACATTGCGCCCTCGTTTTTTCCCTGATGCTGTGGCTGTCGGTGTAGCTGAGTCAGATGATGAAAGAGGCTGCACTGAATCCATGTTTGGTGGCTCAGAAGTGGACATCTTATTGAGGACTTTTAGAAGAAAGTAAGAAAAAAAAGTATGTTAACACAAAATCAAATAATTTACTGTATTAACTTGTATGCTTATTGGTCACTTCATTAGGTTCAATTTGTTGTAAACACAAATATTTAATCAACCAGTGATGTGACAGCAATGCAGACATGATTAAAACAACCTGCTGAAGTTAAGACTGAGCATCAGAAGTGAGATGAAAGGAGGTTTAAGTGAGTGTGGACATGGCATTGTTATTGGTGTCAGAGAGGCTGATCTAGACCATCAGACTATAAGATTAGACTATAACTCTCGGCAGACTTTTAGATGCTTACCTCTCCGATGAGCTGTGAAAAAGGCAGATATGGAGCTCTGTTTGGTTTTTGGCATTTCTGTTTTGGTCTGAGTGAAGTTTAATGCCACAGCCAAACTGTATCCAGCACCTTCACAAAACGGGTTCAGCAGTTTAGAAATGGGACGGCTACGGCGCTTCTGAAAGATATAAAAGAGAACACAGTGTGTAAACAGTAATAGACAGAGACTGCAGATCAGCATTTTAGTGTATTAAATAACTGCTCTACTCAGGCATGCTGGAGAAGCCATTCGGTCAGTGTTCAGACCATGTTTACACAATTACCTGTTTAGCTTTTCCTTTCAGCTCCACAGTGTCCAGCCAAACATCACAATCCTCTTGATCAAAGGTCTGTGGTGCTGCTGCAGTGCTCTTCATGGTGGACAGCCCAGGGAAGATATGATCTGTATGAAATAAAAACAGGATTTTATAAACGAGTTAGACATGCCGTTTGTTTTAAATAAAGAATCATTATACTTTAAAAGCTATTTTCATGTCTCTCGTTGATGAACATGTTTGTAAGAAGCCTTTACTTATCTTTAACTAATTCAATAACGCTACCACAGACCTGTGAGTTAGCTACAGTTGGTTAACATAGCTCTTAAAACAGATTTTTGGGAAATACCTTATGATACAATGAAGATCCAGAGTAATATTTTGAGGTTTCCTTTGCAATTTTTTATAATCGTTTGTATAACTCTCTAGTACTCGGTTCAATCTGCCGCCTTCAGGACTGTCTGCCCCTGATGATTGACTGTGTGAAAATGCCTTAATGTGGTTGTACCTAAAATGCGCGATTTAATTTGAAAGATAATTTAAAGGTAGGATATATAAAGACGTTCATAATACTCTTTCATCATAAAAATGTATTTATGTCTAATTAATAAAATTTACCGTAACAATATTCTTCATTTCTAGTTGGGCGCGTTGGACACCTAATATTTTGACGTCTGCCGGTCCGTGCGTAGATGTGGGTGTGTTTACGTTGACGTCATCGCAGTTTTTCCGACAGGGTGAGTGAATTGTTTTTAATTTGGTTTATTGAACTCTGTTATTGAAATAGAGTGAGCATAGCACCGATTTAACGGCTGCTCTCATAATAATGATCAGTTATATAAATCTTGGTGTTTAAAATCAGCTGCCTGCGCGTCACAGTGATTAGAAATCATAGGAAGTGCTATACAAGCTAGCTTCCGCAGCTAACTAGTTAGTTCGGCTAAACAAGAAATTTCATCAGCAGATATATTTAGTGATTCGTAAGTTTTATTCCGCTGAGTGACTCTGTGTAACGTAAAATGTTTATAAACTCTGTGTCGGGTTGTGAAGCTAAGTTAAGCAAGTCTGTAATTATAATCCGACGGGTTGTTTTTTTTCATGTTTTTTTTTCTGAACAGCGAAACACAACTGCCTGTTTGTGTGGAGCAACATTTCCATAGTGTTTGTCAATAGGTCACACTTGAAAGTGGACATTAAAGAAACAAAATTTAAGAGTTTAAGAGTGCTCGGCAGAAAGCAGACCGAGTACAAAGAGACAGAGAACAAATATAATTTAAAAACATTTACATTTGACCCCTACAGTGTGACCTTATATGCCCCCCTAAACTGAAGGTCACTGGAAGTTAGTACAAAATTAGTGTGAATGACTTAATAGTCGAAACATCAAATGTTCTGACTATGAACGGGTTTTAATTTAATTAAGCAAGCATTGGCTCAACAGCTTTGTAAAATGCTTTTTATTTGGATTTCTTTAAGTTAGTCATCATCGTGCGACTGTTGTTCCAGTGCCAGTCTTCATTATTAAAACTTGACTTTGGTGGTTACAGCTGTTGCCTCACAGTGCTTGGTTCAAATCAACTGGCTGAGGTCTTTCTGTGTACTTGTGTCAGTTCTCTCTGAATGCGCTAGCTTCCTGTCAGAGTTAACTGGCACGTATAATAAGCTGTAGGTCTGAATGGTTGTCTGTCTCTTTGTCCTGCAAAAGTCTGGTGACCTGTCCAAGGTGTAGCACATCTCTCGCCCTAGGTAGGAGAGGCTCCAGAAAAAGGGGTGCATGGATGAGTTTTCCTTACAAAGATGTTTAGGCATGTGGTGGCATTGCATTTGAAACCCAATGTATGGGTTTATAGCTCAGTGGGATGACCAGGCGACCATAACCCCATATGGCCAGAGAGCAGTAGGCCCGGGTTTGAGTCTGACCCGCGGCCCTTTGCTGTCTTCCCCTCTCTCTCCCTGCTTTCTTGTCTCTCTACACACTCTCTACCGAATAAAAGCTTACATGAAGGTTGATATTTTTACTTAAAAGTATTAGTTTATCTTATGTTACTGGTGTAATTATTGAAAAGAAAAAGAAACAGTGATCATTAAAAAACATCTTACACCATCTGTGGCTCACATTAAATATTTAAACTCCAGAAGGGGGAGGTTTTAGTCTTTCTATAAATGTTCCGATCCTTCCTGTTGTTACACTTCTTTTATTATCACAAAGTGCATCTCTCATAT